GACGCCGCCCGGCGGCCGCCGCAGGTGTGCAGCCGGCAGAGCGAGCCCGGAGCCGGCCTCCGGCGTCGGGGCCCCGCGGTCTCCGCCGAGAAGTCGCGCAGCGAGGGGCGCCCCACACACTATTGGTCGCTGCCAGCCAGGCATGGTGGTTAAGGCACTGGACACTCCCACATGGCTGACCACAGTTCAAGTTCCAGACCTGATGGCTTGCTTCCTCACTTTCTCTCTGTCTTGCTCTGGTCAAATTAAAATAAATGAATGAATAAATAAAATTAAATAATTCTTTAAAAATAAAGAAATTGAGAGGCCCAGTGCGCCGGGGCTACGCCGGGTCAGGGCTTCACCGGGTCGGGGCTACGCCAGGTTGGGGCTACGCTGGGTCGGGGCCATGCGGGGTCGGTGCCCGTGACGTTGGACTCACGAGGGGCTTCCGTGGGGTGGCTGCGTTAGGCCTTGGCCAGACTGGGGGGGCCATGGTGGTGTTTTACAATGAGGTGGAGATCGAGGACTTCCAGTACGATGAAGACTCGGAGACGTACTTCTACCCCTGCCCTTGTGGGGACAACTTCTCCATCACCAAGGAAGACCTGGAGAATGGGGAAGATGGCCCCGCGGGCCCGCCGTCCGCCGCGCTGACACCGAGCTCCCCGCGCCCGCTCCAGAGATCTGCCCCCGGCGTGCAGCTCCTGCCCCGCCGTGCCCACCCGGGGTACTCCCGGGAGGAAGGAACTCCCCACTCCCCAGCAGGGTTCCCGAGGCCGCCGCGCTGAACCTTCCGGGTCCCCTAAGTGGCGTTGCGGAGAGAAGGGGAGTTGAGACTTCCCGCGGAGCCCCTTGCTGCCCGCCTTGGAGGGAGGCAGGCCGCAGAGTCGGGGTGGGAAAGGCCTGGGGAGGAGATGCCGAAGGGAAGACCTGCTGACCACACGGTGTTCGGTTTCCTTACAGGAAGACCTGGAGAATGGCGAAGACGTGGCAACGTGTCCCAGCTGCTCTCTCATTATAAAAGTGATCTATGACAAAGTAAGGGGTGTGATTTAAAAAGGGGACGGGGCGGTGAGGAAGAGGCGAAGAGCTAGAGCAAAGTTCAAACGATGCGACTCATGTTAGCTCTGGAGACGGTACTAAACCTCATCCCATGAAAATCACCACTTACTAGCTAGAAGAAAAATCATCGTAAAGGTTGCTTTCGTTGGTCATCTTTATTCTTTCTTTATTCAACATGAAACTGTTCGGAGCTCCAAGATTTATTCTGAAGTGAGCAGTTGTGTACTATTTCTTGCCTGGATTATACATAGACAGGGAACAGATTCCAGGCGATGAAGGGTAACCTGGGGAGCAGAGATTTCTTAGGGAACATTTTAAAAAAGAAGTTGAGAATATGGAGCCTTGTGCTGAGGATGGACCATGAATTAGGGTACAGTGGAAGGGCTCCAGATTCTGGGCCAGAGGGAGCGAAATAGATAGTAGAGGCTGATGGGAGGCAGAGGTTTCTTACAGAGATGACAGAAGAAAAGATAAACAATCAGATTTAAGTTTTTTCACAGAGTAGTTAGTGTTGCAAATTATACGTGTTAGGGAACATATAAAGACCTATCCCCTTTAGTTGGAAGAAGTAACTTATAGAGGACAGGTAGGTGGATGCATGAATAATGAAGTGGAGTGTAAGTAGTAATTAACATAGCATTTCAAAGATATGACATGTCTTTATGTGATTTCTGAGGAATGGTTGCCTGCTAGTAAAGTCGGACATGTTTATTTAAAAGATAAGGTGCTTTATAATAAGTATTAATTCAGGATTACAAACATACATTTTCAAAATTCTAATTCCAGTGCTGACATGTTTCTAAACAAGAATGAGGTTACATAGCAATGGGGAAGAATTAAATTATCAAGCTGGACTGGTTTTGTAACAGAATGAAGGTTTAAAATTAATGCATTTGTGGGAACCAGCAGTTAGCGTAATGGCTATATTGCTGGACTAGTCGACCGCGGTTCGCGTCCCGGACCCGGTGGCTTAAACTCATGCCGGGCACGTGTGCGTGCGTGCCCAAGATCCCAAGAGGAGAATGGAGGAGAAGGGATTGCGGTGTGGCCATCCCCCCTGGGGGGTGATTTCTCGCTTTCTGTCTCTATGTCTCTCTCTGTCTGGTGAGCACATGCGCCCTATAGCGAAAGAAAAAAAAAATGCATTTGTGACATGGAGGCTCAGTGGTCAATGTCATTTTCCATTATGTCTTAGGATCAGTTTATGTGTGGAGAATCAGTCCCAGCCCCTTCAACCAACAAAGAATTAGTTAAATGCTGAGGAAGCCTTCAGAAACCCAGATTCTGAACAGCTGTGAATGAACCAAGACGGAAATGGCAAATGTGACATTACTGACTGTTTCCCTGGGACAGCCTTGCTGTGGTTTGCTGTGCCGTTGCGGTGTGGGTTCTTGTCATCAACCGCCGAGTTCACCTTCAGATAGAAGAATGAGTTCACAACGTGACATCCCTGGATTTCATGCTTAGAACTTGGAATTGGAGTGTCCTTCATTGTCCACTTGAATCGAAAGGACGGTAACTTCAAGTCAGTGCTTTCTTCCCTTAGGGCCATCATTTTCATACTTCAGACTGATCACTTCAGTATGTGGTAACAGCATCGCCTACCTCAGTAATTCGGATGTAATAAAAACAGATTGTATTTTTGACTTGGCTATTAAGGTGATTAAAATTAGCCCTCATTTTGAAATTTGACATCGACTTTGCTGCCTTAAACTTGAGAGACTGAGTCCTTGTCGGGACTGCATTTCAGGTTCCCATAACACTCCAGTCTCCTCGGTCCTGTGGGACAGTTTTCGAATGTTTGTGTCCTGGTCAGCACGCCATTTCTGTCACACCCTGCAGAGCTCGACATGGCATAAACAGGACATACAGTGAGGTCATAGCATCTCCAGAACAGAACGTTAATGGGTGAGAAAGAAAGGTCTGAACAGAAATGACCAGAGGATGGAGTTTATATTCTCCATGGTCCTTGGAAGTTAGGACAGGATCAGAGAAAAGCAGCCAGGGGAGCAAAACTGGGACCAGGAGGAGAGAGGCAAAGCCTGCCAGCTCGGTACACGGGATGCTGCCTGGTTTTACTGCTTAGAGCAGACAGTTCCGTATCTAGGCTAGTGAAATGGCCTTCCAGGCAGGCTCATTTCTCATTGCAGATCGTTGTGGTGGGGCAGCACTTCCAGCACGTCGCCTTGTGTCATCCTCCTCACAGTGCAAGCATGTACCACAGAAGGAGCTTAGAAATTGGAGACCTGTTCTGAATAAGTCCACCCTTGGGATATCTAATAAGCCTGTGTAACGAAAGCCAGACCAGATGAGCCCTCCTGTAGGGAACTGTTGCCCTGGGAAGAAATATACAGCGAGGCCGTCAGTCTTTGCTGCAGGGCTGAGAACTGTAAGGGATTAGAATGGGTCGCATGGAGCTGAAACTGCCCTTCGTGTGCACAGGTTTGCTGTCTGTCTATAAAGTCTGTCAGGCGCACCAATGATGCCCAGCAGGTTGTTTTGGTAACGGCTGCAATTTAGAGGAAAAGCACTTGCTAGAATGTGACTGCTCTGTTACCGACAAGCCCGCCTCTGCACACACTCCCAGGAGGTTTAAAAGAAAGCACGTAGCCCTCGTTCCGTTTTGTCTTGCCTGCCTGCAGCGCGGCATTGAGCGGCTGTTAGGATGCGAAGTCAGTCACCAGAAATTGTGTGCTGCGGTACTTGATCCGCTGTGTAGTGTAGTTCTAGTGATGAGAAATCTCATCGCTGTCTGGGCCGTAGACACCTGGGAAGTAACCTCAGCTGCTTGCAGAAGCGAAGTGCTCGGATGAAAAGGGACCGATGAGGGAGTGAGCCGCCGAGAAGTGGGCTCTGTGCTCACGCTGCTGCTGCTCTGCCACTGTGTCAGCTTCTGCCGGTGATGAATTTCAGACTAGTGTAGTCTGACTAGAGAAGAACAGGAAGGAGGGCTGCCCGAGTGGACATCCCAGGAGGAACATAACGGCACTGGCAACCAGCGGTGGCGGTACGCCACAACACGGGGATGGTCCTGTTCTAGAGCAGCTGAGTCCCCAGGTCTGCCCGGACCCCAGCAGAAGGTGAAGGACCCGTCTCACATAGGACTAGATCTGTGATGTGTGTGCCTTATACCAGGCTGAGACGTTTCTGGAGCCCCTCAGACCTGACCTGTAATCCAGGTACTGTCTTTCATCTGTAATCTTCCATGAGGTCGGTTGGTTCCTACTGGCAAATAGAAGACTGGACCCGGTGATTTCTCAGCTTGTTTTTCTCATTCCAGCCTTGGTAGCTTACAGGAACTGAAATGGCAATGGAAACTTTTACAAACTGTCTAAGTCCTGAATTACAATGAAAGGGACTCCATTCTTATTTAGTAACTTGATGTTTCCATGCTTCTGAGTTTGCAAACGGTAAAGTCAGCTGTTTAAAGAATTCTATATAGACTTCAGTGTACACAGAAAGCATCGTTTAACCACTAAGCTGGTCATGCGGGATCCGGCCACCTTGAGCTCCAGGCCATCTGCTGGCCCTGGTTTGGTACAATTATATGAAGTAGAAATCTTAATCTGCTTTTGGGGCATTTAGTTTTCTTATGTGAACTGTGTAGTTTTTAAATACAAAAGACTTTACCACTATTTCTACAATTTAAGCTCTTGGTTCTTATTGTTTGAAAAACAAGTCAAGTGGCAGTAAGGCAGAGAGAGGTGACATTCGATGCGTGATTCAGGTTAATGCTGGGTAAGGAGGCTGACTTTTAAGGTGGATGATTGGTTCCTGGAGAGGTTTGAAAGCCCAGCTGTGATCAGGACACAATTTGAATCTTATTTCCTCACTATCACCTTAGACAAGTTATTTCATTTCTGTGTAAGGTCCTGATTTGTGGAATGTAGACTGTAGTGATGCCTCTTTGATAAGGTTGCTCTGAGATCATTGATTCGGCGAGTGTAGACTGCCTGCTACGTGCTAGGCACTAGGTTAAAAAGACTAGATTCTGCTATGGTGGATGCAACTCGGAACAGGAGCCGGGCCAGCTTACAGACTGGTTAGAGCCCAGAAGGAAAGAAACCTGGTGATGCAGGGAGTGACAGGCAGACATCTCTAAAGTGTAGGAGCCAGGTCGGACTCCGAAAATGGAGGGTTGAGACAGAAACAGCCTTTGAAAATGATTACATGAGCTCATGACTATGAAGCATTTAGCACAATGCCTTACATGTACAAAAAAAACCCAAACAAACCACAGTTAACTAACTCTAAAAGGAATCAAGCATCGTCTTGAGCCTTGTCAGTGTCTTAGAATGACTGGAAAGGATGACGTTTGGAGACACACACACACACACACACACACACCGCCTTGCTGAATCTGAGAATGGGGCCCAGCAACCTGTGTTGTAACATCCCTCCAGTGGATCTGATGGCTCTAAAGTTTCTGTTTGTTTCCGCTTTGCCAGGAGGCACATGCATGCTCCAGAGAGCGAATCCCCAGTGGACTGTGGTCTTGCTGCAGTCCATCCCCATTCTGTCAGAGTTTGGGGCATGCGTGTGTGTGTGCTTAGTGTGTTTTTCAAGCCCTTGAGGCCAGGATTTGGACCACATGGTCTGCCTGTGGGACCCAGCTCCCTAACCAGTAGTCCACAGGGCCAGCTCGAATGCAGCTAGTTTGAGAACTTGAGCAGCACATTTATAATCACCGGGGGTGCTTTAAAAACCGTGATGTCCCAGAGAAGCTGACTGAATTGATCTGGGTACAGCTTGGACATCAGGATTGTTTTTTTTTCTTCTGGCATCAGGAGTTTTTTAATGCATGATTCTACTGTGCAGCCCAGGCTAAGAACCACTCGGCTAGAAAAGCAGTAAATGTATAATCATAAAGTACAAAGGACCCAATTCATCTAAATGATCAAACCTGCTCTGCACATGGAACAATGAGCATAGGCTCAGTCCATTCAGGCGTGCAATCGGCCTTAACAGCTGACCTGGGGAGCCCAGGCCGGGCTAATGTACACAGCGGGAGAGCCCTGATCCGGTGGCCTCTGGGCCATGTTCTCTATATAGACAATTGCATTTGCCAGCACACACTCTGGTTGCTAATTACACACCTTACAAAAGTGACAGGCCTGGCAGGTGTGCGTAATTAGGATTCTTTAACTCCGTTTGAGAATGCACGCCATTCCCCACATCCCACCAGGCAAATTGCTCATGATTACACATTGGGCTGGGAAGCCATTTTACAAATTACTCCTTTTTAAGAGTTTAAAACAAAGGACATATAAAAAAGAAATCAGTTAGAAATAGTATCCCCTGGCTCTACAGAATATTTAAAATGGCAGAAAACTGGGGAAACTACTTTTCTCTATTATTTAGAGTTGTCCTTCCAGGTGATCCTAGAACTCAGAGAAGAAAAGACAGGTCTGAGATTTCTAGTAGTCAGTTGAGTTCTAGGAAAGAAAGCATTATTTAAAAGAATTGGTTTTGGTCTTCAAATTTCACCACTAAAATTAGAGGAGAAAAGTCACTAGGCTGTCTTCCCCGTGCTCTGGTGCAGGGGCATGAAATCGAGCTTGCAGAGACATCTGGAGTTCAGCACGACCACTGCCAAAGTGGGGACCGTGGAAAGAGTAGCGAAAAGCTCCAGGAAATCGTTGGCTTCTGTGTCACAGCTACCTCTGAACTTGCAGCGGTTGCTGTTGTCATGGGAGTTGGCAGGGACATGTACTAGGAAAGAGGGAGGCCAAACCTAACCTACCAGTCCTGTGTCCAACCCCTTCAACTGCAGTGCTCTTCAGTCACAGCTGCTGCTTCCGTTCTGCCTTCCAAACCGTGCAGCTTTTCTCTTCTTCAATCAGCTATCACCCAGAATTATGTGGGGAAGAGGATTCTGGGAAATAGTTCCAGCATAGTCAAGTTAATACAGTAAAAAAAAAGCTGCCATAGTGACTGATACTGGGAAACCACACCACCCATGTGAAGATTCTGATTAGCCCACTGTCTGTGAAAGCTGTGCAATCTGGAAACCTTGCAAAGCACCAGCTCTTAGATAGGATGAACGCTGGGAAATTGAGCTGGCTAGCAATGCAGGGGCAATGCAGGTAGGCCCAGCAGACTGTCCAAGGTGGGCACCTACCTCAGTCCTCATCGAGCAAGTGGGTACCTGAAGGGAGAAAAGCTTCAGGATGAAGTGACTCCCAAATAGGGTGGGGGATCGCAGCAAGCGGCACAGAGTGGTTTAGCCCAGGACAGTAAACGGGACGGAGGCAGTTCCCACCTGAGCCCTGACAATGGTAGCATTACCATTGTCACTAGGCAAGACTTGGGGCCAGACTTCATACTCAAAGGTATTTGGAAACAGTCAAAGTGTACTTACCTCTGCACAAAGGTTAATGCCAAGGATGAGGATGGGAAAGAGGAAAACCCTTGAGCGTCACTTAAGTGCCAGGCTTTTTACGTGAGGACAGCACAGGCGACCTGGATCGCCCTAGAGGCCTTGAGTCCCAGTGTAAAATTCTAAGTGGCAGTGAGGACTTGGAGCATGACTGTGGCTAATGAACTATCAATCGCTGATCATGATGTTAAGAGTAAGCCAGACTAGATTTGGGACCATTTAATGAGATCAAAAGAGATACTCTTACGTGAAACAGTACAGTTTTTGCACAGAGCGCTCACTAAATAGTAGTTTACTCTTACTTATTTTTTTA